AACAGAAAAAAATATTGCAATCAAAGGGTTTGTTTAAATTTCAATGAAACTGTGTTTGCAAGCTTGCTTTAAATTCCTTCCAGAATTTTCACTCATATAAGGAAATTACCAATTGTTAGTGGAGGATTGCAAATTTGGACCAGTGCTTGAGACTTTTATATGTTTTTATTTTGGTAATCGAGGGGAGGAAAAACTTTATCGTGTTAGGAGATATTTCGACATGTGATCTTGCTTTATATGGTCTCGTCCAAAGAACTAGTACTGCACTGGATTTATTCACGGGTGATGAAGATCAACGCCTTTTGGAAGCAAAAGATATGGCAAGCCATTTTACTAATTATTAGTATATAATAAAAAAGATTCTTTCAATAAGAAAGATATCTCTTTAGCATAAAGAGATATCTCTTTGACTAATAGAGATATCTCTTTGACTACAAGATATATCTCTTTAACTTAAAGAGATATCTCTTTGACTAATAGAGAGACATCTCTTTAAACAAGAGATATCTCTTTTACATGTTTTACTTAGAGAGATATTTTATTGTCTAGAGATATATCTCTTTAAGCGAGAGGGATTAATCTTTTAAAGTTAGAGAGATATCTCTTCAACAAGGTTAAAAGAGATATCTTTCTTAAATAGATAGATATCTCTTTTAGTATGAGATATCTCTGTAAGTTTAAGAGAAATCTCCTACTCATAAAGATATCTCTTTAAAATGAGAGATATCTCTGTAATTTTACGATAAATTTTATTTTCCAAATATATAGCAAAATAGCTTGCCATAAGAGAATGTTGGGGAACCATGGGAAAAACACGCCTCCCGTATGTTTTTTGAATGTTTTGTTGAATATTAATCTATACGTTCTATGTTCGTTGACTTGCCTATCCCCATGTATTTTGCAAGTTCCTTTTTTTAAGCAAAATCTTCATCGCAAACAACGGAAGTCAAATAAACAGGAAGAGACTGAGGCAATGACGTCATATCTTGACAAATGTATCAAATTAAGTTATGATTACAACCAGAAACATTTATCACATACAAGTACTATCCATAAAACTAAAGTACAGTTTTAATTGAAAATATGAAGAAAAAATGTCATTTAATAGTTTGACGATAAATATCCATTTATCAAATAATACTATCTTTTCAGCAAATAAATTGAAATTTGATCTTTGAGAAACACGTATGTTTCAATTAAAAAAAAAACCTGAAACCCTGACAGAAGTATTGACTACACAGAAATCAGCATAGTTGATTTTATCATAATTCGACTTCAAAAATCGGAGACTATATAAGTTATCGGGATGCCAACACTTCTGTTCGTCTGTATATCCATCTGTTGCACTTTTGGGTACCAATATCTTATCCGCAACTCTTTAATGAAATTTAATGATACTTTCACAGAATCTTTGTTAGAAAGTGTCATTGTGCCATTCCTATTTTATTTTCTGATTGGACACATATTTATGGTTTGCCAATAGCAAAAGATAGACACTGACATCCTTTTCTATAATACTGAGGGTATCCACGTCCCATGTGTTAATTCAATGTAAAATGAAAAAGTCCAATCTCTTCTCATTTAAATATATGACCAAGGTTATTTTTTTGTGACAGACGGACTGTCGGACGGACGGACGGACAGACAAACGATATTTAATGTCCCCTCGCTTTAGCGAAAGCGGGGGACAATAATCCCAGGTGATTTCTTATGTTGCCCTCTTGTTTTTTCAATAACATACTCAAAATTAAAGGGAAATGACTCTTGAAATTTAAGAAGCGTATAACAGACAGACAGACGGACGGACAAACGTTAATATAGTGTCTGATCAATTAAATTAATTTAAAATGTCGTGTGAATGGGAATCTTCATATATATATATTTTTTTTACACTTTTATAGAGGTGTTAATTGACACGTTTGCAAATATATTTCCGTTATTTTCCGATCAGGATAAGGAGCACACGGCGGGTGTGACCGGTCGAAAGGGGATGCTTATTCCTCCATTGCACTTAATCCCACCTCTGATGTTTCGGAGGTCCGTATTTGCTTTGCTCCTATTTTGTATTGTTTAATGGACTTTTGAGCTTGAATTCTGATTGTTATCTCCACATACATGTACATGTATTTCATGCAAGTCACAGCTTCGAAATGTAAAGAATAGCTGGTATAATAAAAAAGAAATTCCCTATCTCTGAAAACCTTGAAGTCATCGAAATGAGAACGACCTAAATCTGGTGATTAATAAATTTATATTTCCCTTTTCCTTATGTTATTTGAATCTATAATTATAAACAATCAAACAAGTAGAATTTGTATTTGTTTATCTATACTTGGTATTTTTAAAGTTGCTCAAAACGGACCTTTGTTGGTAAATGTTAACTGCTTTTATTAAAATGCTTAACACGTGCACAATTATGATAAAAAAATTTAAACGTTAACATCCACACGATATATATAATTAGCGGTCAGACAATTTTCCTCTAGATAAAAAAATTTAGATATAACTCGATCAGTATGTACTTTTCCCAGCTGTCAAAGATGGTGGCTAGTAACATCTTCTTTAAATGTTTGTTAAGCTCAAAATTTTAATTGTATTTAATTTAATTTTTTTAATATTGGGATAACGAACAGTAATCAAGCTTATAGAAGTCCATATCTATAAATGATTAGAATTGGAAGCAGAGCAAACAAGGACCTTCAAAAACCTCACATATGGGATCAGGCGCTCTTGGGGATTAAGCTTCCCGTGACGAGCTGTCACACACGTTCTGTGCTTTTTGTCATGTTCTGGTAAACAAGAAATCGTAACCAATTCAGCGTGTAAATAATTGCCTTACGTTAAGTATATAAAAAAGTCAGCATTCCCACGATGGTAGATTGTATTTTCGCTAAGGTCATAGTTAGATAGTTCTTGCAAAATGATAACATTAAACAAGGCGGTTGATATCCTTGTTTCATCAACTTGTTTGTCAATAGCTTGTGTCGCTTATTGTTCATCCACAGAGTTTGATTTTGCATATCGAATAACCTGGAAGACAAAACCCCATGTACAGGTGATCGGGGTATAAATATGGTTGTATGAAATACACATACTCTAAGAGTTCAATGTGGTTTCCTCGAATAATCCTCCGGGATTTTAAATGCACGTCATATGTGCAATACTCAGATGGAAAGTTAAGACTCTAATAGAGATATAATTGACTCAGAGGGTTCCTTTACCAACTGTAAATCCAGCGAGGATTTGATTATACAGGGTGTTATTTTACGATAAATTCATGATCACATGAAAAAAGTTTTATTTTGTAATAATCCTTGGAAAATCTGAAAAAATCAAAATTATACATTATTGATAGTAATGATTGTAACTTATGTCTACGTTATGTACATCACTTTGTTTCTTACAGAAGATTCCAAAAGTAAATTATATAGATTTACAAAATAATTTTTCGTTGGGATGTTTAATTGTGGATAAAGTGTAACCATGAAATCCACTAAAAATATATAGTAACGCAAGAACATTGATGTTGATTGCACTGTATATTAAGTGAGTGTATCACAACACGTGTCTAATAATCACGTGTTTAGCCAATACTTGTTAAGCAGACATTAATCGATTATTGCATTTTCATAATACATGTACAGGTATTTTGATAATTATCTACTTATCAAGCTGTGTTGTGTATGCCATTGGAAGAAGCTCCATTGTCGCAGACAGATGGGTTTTCCATGTCTCCTTTCCCTAATAAATTGTCTCTTTTTATTGTTCCATACGTTTTTATTTTAACTTTGGGTTTTTATTACTTTTTTACAAAAACAAATATTTAATTTATATATCTTTTGACCAGGTAGATTTAAAAAAAATTCTGATAATAATTTCTTAATGGTTGCTGAAAAGGCTTTCACATTTCACTTTTATTTTCTTGTGACACGAGATTCATTTTCATTTTCCCACCATCTTTGTTATTCCCCTGACCTAAGAGTTCGACCAACGTTTAAAAAATAACCTTGGCCATATGTATTGAAGAGTTTAGCATTTCATTTCCTTAACTTAGTTGGAAAGAATTAAACTGAGAGCTGAATGGACACAGCCATTATTTAAAAAATAAACTAAAATTCAGGTTAAAATTACTCATTTCTGATCTGCAACTTTTATTTTACAACTAAATAAAATTTAAGTTAAGGAAAGATAGTATTACAACAAACTTTCTTCATGTGTCATTTCATCTTTTTATCTAGTTTTTCACAAAAATGTTTTCGATATAAAGATAAAAGCACTAATTAAAATAATATTGATAATAATATAATTATTATCATGAGAGCAAAGAAGTTTTTTGAACATCATAGAAAATAAATAATTTTGTTTTACTATAAGAATTTAATTTTTGGATTATGTTAAGAACCCTTGAATGTCCAAAATTATATGTATATAAATCCAGGCTTCAACTTTATTGTTTATCTGTTTATATCATCTGATTTTAATGCAGCTTTTAAAGACTCTTGATTGTAAAGCGCAATTGTGAACCTTCTATTTTATATTCTAATGGTACAGATAATTGAGTCTAACCAATTTAATATTGCATGAATTTTTTTGCTCAAGTCACTTCTCCTTTTTATCAATATGTACTACATGTACACATATATTGCCACACAACGTAATTCGCTATTGCATGTTTCCTTACTGGGTGAACCCAAGAATATACAGGTATATACATGAATTAGGGTGCATGCTTAAACCAACGTAAGTTAAATTGTTAATAAAAAAAAGTCTTTTTCTGTCAAGTTAAGAGTAAACGACATCTTTATCATCCTCACAATGTCAAGGGTTTGTGATTTCTCGAACTGGAGTTCGAGAAATCACAAATCTTTGACATTGTGAGTATGCATCTTTATATGATGCTTCACTAACCGTAACGTTTCTTTATTTACAACACCTTGTTTACCCTAACATTTTAACAAGCTTCAGCAATTTTTGAATGTGGCATAAATTCGATGAACTCGATGAAGCATGTTTACAGTGCACACGAGGCGGTGTATGCAGCACAAAGAGAATAGTTTATCAGTACAGCACATACTGCAGCAACGTTGAGATTGAAGCTTAATTAGAAACATGTGTAAGTAATGCATCTATGTTGTTTCATATTTTTTAAATTTATTTTTGCTCGTTTCTCCGGTTGTGTTTTATGCCTTGTTTTTGTCGAGAACTTTATATTCAGAAGACTTTTTTAAAGTTTCACCATTCAGCCATTAGCATTTTCTTTATTTTTTCACTGCACATGCTGCATGAAGTGAAAAATATCAGAATAAATTGAGAATGGATTATTGAACTAAGCATTTTAAAATAATAAAGTTCAAGGTAACTCTAAGAATAAGACATTCAACAATTGAGGTACATCAATACTCTGATAAGAGAGATAACTCTAAATGATATGAATGTCTATTATTCCTTTATAGATTTGCCATGTTGAAGTGCTTTTTTTTGTCCAATTTTGCCCCGCAAGCAATGCTATAATTGTTTGTATTTTACTTATAAAATACATTTCTTTTGGAAAATCATTAAGGTTCAAGCAACATATTATATGAGTGAGCAGAGGATTTATGAACCTTAAATAAAGACTGCTGTCTTTGTGTGTAAGTACAAACCGAAGCATATGGAAATAACGAATAGTATTCAAGATCAAAAGTCTATAAAAAATACATAATAGGAGCAGAATACGGACTTCTAAAACATTGGAGGTGGGACGAGAACAGCTGATTATTTTTCTAAGGTGGTGTTGAGACGTTCATGTAACCTTAAGAATTAAAAACTTAGAAAAAAATGCAATAAAAATAAGAAATTATACAATTCAAATACCGGGGGTAGAAAATATAAAATTCAAATGAAAAGCTAGAGGTACTGTGAGCACTGAGCTCACAAAATGATACTCCCAGCCTCCCGTATGGTTATAATGGCAAAGTTCATGTTCTGCTTTAGATCTGGAAGACCCGAAATAAGTGTCAGATCAAAACGTAAAATAGAGGGTGCATAATGGCATTATGTAATAAAGAATCTGTGAAAGTATCATTAAATTTTATTTATTGGTATGAAACGAGTTGCGGATAAGGGATGGGTACCCTTAAATATTATAGAAAGAACGGTCATGTTCATGTTTTTCTATGGAAACCAGAAATAAGTGTCCGATCAAAAAGTAAAATCGGAGGTGCATAGTGACACTATATAAAACAAGGATTCAGTGAAAAACTCATCAAGTTTCATTCAGTGGTATAAGAGGAGTTGCGGATAGAGATAGGTACCCCAAAAGCGCAATAGACCGAAAGACGGAAAAAATTATATGTCTTCTGTGTTGTTTTCTCGTTATTTAAATGTAAGAAGATACCTCACAAAAATGAAAATTGAAAATTTTCATCATCTTCAATGTCTTCTTCGCCTGTCTGTCACAGCTTTGATTCTTATTTGCATTGAGTTCATGAGTTCATCAGTGTATTAATTCTTCAAATAAGGATAATATTCAACCCTTTTTACAAGGCAGCCCTTAGTTGAAAAAGCCAGCTAGGGCATTTCGAACCCTTTCATCTACAGAGTCCCACAAATGTTCACTGAGAAAAAATGGACTTTATGAGGTCCAATCAAGTGAGTTAATGTGGTTGTATGCGAAAAAATCTTAACAAATCGTGGCTACATTGATCCAGTTTTTGTAATGTTCGAATGTTACCCTGCGTTTCGTTTTCCTATGAGTATAATTTAGATTTTTTAGCTTGACGGAAAAAAAGATATGCAAATTGTTTCACGCACCAATTGTAAATGTAATTGAAATTTTCTTGCATTGTTAAAAACATTATAGGCGTGATGTTTCGTTATAAGAATATCTTCTTTCATCTTTCATCCTAAATCCATGCAGAAAAAAATCCTTACCTGTTAACAGTTTATCTGACCGATAAATTTTGATCATATTTTTTAAGTCTATGTTTCTCTTTTTAGCGTACATTTTCTAAATTATCCCAGTTTTCTGTTATCATGCAGATACACAAAGCTTTTGCATTAACATTTCCTGGGAAATTTTCATGCATTCCTGTAGTAAAAAATTAAAAGTTAAAAAAATATATATGAGAAGGTTTATTTAGAATCATGATTGTTACATTTAGTCCAGAAAATATAATACTAACCAATACGGTATCTTATACATGTACCTATACATTTTTTTAATGCACAGCTTGTTCATGTGACGGAAAACAACCTAGCATGTTACTTAAAAGACACATGCCCAAGATAAATGTTCTAAACTCCAATACAGGATAATTACATTAATTGTTTTTCTTTAAATATATTTCAATGGCTAATTAGGAAATTTAAATTGTGTAAAATCCTGTCCTTTTCAGGAATGATTTTTTGAAATATTTCTGAAACTTTTCAAGAAATATCATATTAAACATTATAGTTTCATTTTCCAATTTTTGTCACCAAATTTTGTGGCTTTTACACAAATAAAATTGTTTAAATGCTTGAATTAAAACGGCTTTCGCATTTTATTTAGAGAGGCGCCTTTTCAAATAAGATTGTTGAATTTTGGAGGGAGAAAAATCAATTGTTTTATTTTGTTATTTTGGGCTTGAAAGATTTCAATATGTGAAGGCAATTTCACCAAAGACTTGAATCAATTATCAAATTTGAAGAAGTACTTTTTTCTTTTCAGCAAGGGACGGTTATACAATAGGGGAAAAATCTACTAGTAAAACAACAGATCCAAGGTTCTGGCAATGTTTAGCATTAGTCTTAGGAGTTATAGCCCTTGTCCTTTTGATAGTTGTAATTGTCCTGGCAGCAAACAAAGAAAAGGAAGATACCAACATCCCAGAATGCAAACGACTTCCGGTTTCCGGTGTTATTGATATCACTGAACCTGAAAAACCTCCAATATTTCACGATCTTACCAGAGGAGAAATAAGAATTATATTTGACTTTATGCTTTCACAAAAGTCTTTAAATTTATCACAGCCAAGTAAAGCTGTACTTGCTTCTAACTACATATATGCAATGGAACTCATTCTTCCAGAGAAGAAATTCGTTCTACAGTCGACTCAACAAAGTCCACCAATAAGGAAAGCGTTAGTTACAGTTTTTTGTGGCGGGAAAGCCGAGCCAAATGTCGAGGAATATTGTGTAGAGTTAACACAGCAACTAAGTTTCTGTGGTGGGCCAAGGTCCATTCCCTTTTCTTTTAGGCCATTTACAATACCAGAGTATATGTCGGCGCTGAATGTAGTAACCGAAGATGCCAATAGAATTGTTGGTGATATACTTCTTGAAAGTTTTAAGGGATCTTTTTTTCAGTGTGGAGGGAACTGTTTGGGCGTAGAAAATATAACTCCTTATGCCGCCATGATCGCAGAAGTTGAGGGAAAGGGATACCGAGGATTATGGTTTCCATTCCTTCAGCTGATGGAACCAAAAAACTTGCACCCCGTAGATTTTGCCGTTCTTGTAACTTTTAATGGAAGTGCTGTTCCAGAAACAGCCGATGTTTGGTACAACGGCCAATCATTTGCCTCACTCCAAGATTTTAAGGACAAGTGGGACAAAGGAGAAGTTAGTAAACTGATCTTAGATTTTCCTCAGATGCGTACGCATGATAAAAAATTTCCAGAAAATATGCAGAGACCGCCTATTGAAATCGAACCCGATGGTAGACGTTATTACATCAAAGATCAAACAGTCACCTATATGAACTGGATGTTTCATTACGGAATATCCCCATCTCACGGTCCTCAGCTTTACAACATCAGATTTAAGAATGAAATGATTGTCTATGAATTAGGTTTACAAGAAATCTGTGTTTTCTACTCTTCCTCGGAACCTGCTGGAAGATTTACAAATTATTTTGATTCTGTTGTAATGATTGGTCTTTATATGAAAACTTTAGTGCCTGGCATTGATTGTCCCTCACACGCAACTTTCCTAGACGCCACGCATATGTTTGAAACTTCGGATTCCCCAGTCACTAACAAAAGAGCGATATGTGTATTTGAACACAATACCGGAAGTCCTTTGAGGCGCCATCATGCAGCCAGTGAAACACCTTCCGGTTACTATGAGGGTGCCCCTAATGTTGTACTTATACTAAGAATGATTGGAACTCTTGTAAATTATGACTACATATTTGATTTTATTTTCTATCAGAATGGTGTTATGGAAACCAAGGTCACTGCTTCCGGAATAATTATCTCCTCATTCAAATCTACAGATAAAAAATACGGATTTCAGTTAACCGACCAAGCATTGGGAACCCTGCATTACCATTTCTTTAATTTTAAAGTAGATCTTGATATTGGAGGTTCTAATAATAGCTATTCAACTTACGAAGTAGAAGCAGATGAAGTGCCAAATCCTTTTTCTAAAGCATCCAATCCTTCAAACTGGCACCAAGAAAAAGTTGTCAAGGTTGACTATGCCACAGAAAGAGAAGCAGCATACAAGTTTAATTTCAGTTCGCCTAAATATCACGTATTTTACAATGAAAACAATAAGGACAAATATGGCAACCCTAAAGCCTACAGGATACTTCAGAAAAGTATGGCCAAAAACGTTCGAACACAGGGAGCAGGAAATGAACCTGGGTCACCTTGGACACGATACCAAATGGTTGTCACAAAACGCAAAGAAACAGAGCCCCATAGCTCATCAAAATACGCCACATACGACGGCGAGAATAGAACAGTGGATTTTGAAGATTTTATTGGGGAAGAAAATATAAATGGCGAGGTTTGTATAACACCTTAACATCTAATATTAACTGTACGAGGGTTGATCCAAAAGTTCGTGGAATTTCTTTCTAAAATATAATCGTGATATGACGAAAGCCAACAGCAGGCATATTTATAATATAGAGTCATAATGAAACAATATTGCAAAATTTAGCCACTTTCCAATCACCAATAAGGTCACACCAGCTTTCTGAAAATGGATTGTTGTGAAACCCGGGGGACACTTTGACGTTACGTCAAGTTTGATATGTCACGCCACGTTATAGAAGCATCTCACCCTAATGTTCCATTCGAAAACGCAATTCTGCAAAATACTGCCCTTTTTCTCCATTTTTTATTCTCAAGAAAAGCCTGGGTGTCCTCTTGTCTTCATTTTTAACTCATATTTCAAAATACTCCTAATCTTTCCACATGATTTTCCAATTTCAGTAGCAAATGTCAAAAGCAGTACGTTAGCCGACAACGTCCATTAACGTTTTTAATTTGTCTAGGGGGATAAACACTTAAAACAGAGCCTCCAAAAGGCCGCCACACCTTTAATCAATGTCCTAGGACGTTCTATTTTTCTTAAATTTCTTATGCTGCTGGAAAACTAGTAACTAAATACATTTTTCCCCAGCCTATGTCAATAATGTATGCGTTCAAGATAAGGTGATCCCGGTATTTTCACAAATATTATGATTTGCCTGAAATTTGGCGTTTTCTAACAACTTAAAGATGAACAATAAATCATCAACTATTAAATTAAATATCCAATAAAATCAGTAAAACCCTCACACAAACGTTTGTAAAAGATCAAGCATTTGTAATAATGACATAATTTTCGTTTTATATACCACATAGGGCTGTTTTATTCTAATATCACGTATTAAGAATTGAAATGAAAATAAACGCGTTAATGTCTCCCCCGCATTTCCAAACAACCGTTTCTATGGCAACTGCCATAGAGCTGCTTTCATAAATATTTAAAATGTTTTTTAATTTAGAATATTCAACAATTGTCTATATTCTCATTTGTAATTTTCAAACAATTTCACTTAAAAATGAATAAAATGTAAAGAAATTCCACGAACTTTTGGATCAACCCTCGTATATTTACACTTAAAGTTGTTTTCCGTCTCTCAAACCAAAATTCTGCAATATAACACAGTAGTCATATTGCTGATTTCCTTTGTAAAGCAAAATTTCTCGACCAGAAAATCGTACAGATGAATGGCTTTATTATTTTTTTTCCTATTAGGTAACATAATTGTGAATTCAGTTTTTGGAATATTTTCTGTTTTTATATTTCAACAGATGGGGATTTCTTTTAGGTCAGCTGAGACGCCCAGGTTACCTATTGCTATCTGATTTATCTGTCATTTAAAGTTTTTTGTCGGTTGTTAACTTTTGAAAATCTTCAGCTTCTCAAAGTCTGCTAATCTAGTTAAAACTAATTTTGGTGCAGGGTATTTCAGGGCAGAGTCACAAAGCAGGACAAATTTCATAGTTACACTTTAACAAACTATGGCTCTTAATCAAATTGTGAAATCATTGCCCCATGGTCAGGAATATTGATGTTAGGGTGGTGCTCTTGGGCTTATATAGTGAGAATATTAAATACATGAAATCTTTTAAGATCTTTTCTCCTCCTGTATCGTAAGAGCAGAATTACAGTTCAAGTTAGATTAACTCATGATAACTTATGAATTTCTCTCCAGGATAAATTTTTAAGGATATATCACAAAATCTGGAGTTAGAGTTGCTACAAATTATAACAATATCTTTTTAAAGAGTGTAGGATATGAGGCTTTCAACTGACCAGTACTTTCCGATTTCTTTTAAATACATATATTGCTTTGAAAGAAAATGAAAAATAGCATTGCTTTGAAAATTTAAATGATATTGCAAAGCTTTTCATTAGGTCATTACCTCTGATCTGTTCACTACTTCACACTTTTTTATTTAGAAATTGTGAAAATGTGATGAATAAATTTTGAATGACTCTATATTTTTTTCAGGATCTTGTTGCCTGGGTTACAATGGGTGTGCATCATATTCCACACTCCGAAGATTTACCCATAATGCCAACTCCCGGAACTGATCTCAGCTTCCTGTTGCTTCCTTTTAATTACTTCCCTGAAGATCCAAGTGTCGGATTCAACGATAATGTACGCATACAATACGACACTCCTACAGGCCCACTAAAGATAAAAAAAGCAAAAACATCAGAACTGAATTGTCTTCCCCCCAAAACGTATTCTGTTGAAGATTTAATGGGCCATCCTGAAGATTTTATAAATCGTCCGTGAAAAAAAGTATACAACAATTGATAAAAGTAGTTGTGAGAGGCGAAAGGTAATATTTTGATATTTGGAATTAACCGACAAAAGATGCAGCAAACTATTTTTATGAAACCGAGATACTTTAGTGTAATTTTTGGATAAAGGAATGCATTTCCTTTTAGGTATCTTACACTGAATAAAAAACAAAAGAATGAATATTTTATTAAGATAGTTTTAGGTCACCGAATCACTCACGTGACCTACACGGTATTGCTATTTGATTTCGTCCGTCGTCGAACGTCGTCAATTGGTCGTTTACTTTTGAACATTTTTAGGTTCTTCTCTGGAACCACATAATCGATTTTGTCATGAGCGTCCATGGGTGAAAGGGGGTAAAAATTGTAAAGTTCATCGCCCCTGCTCGTCTTGGACCTGAAGAGGTTTGACTAAAACTATTAAAATTATTGCAATCTTTAAAAAACCACCTTTACATCACGTAGATTAATTAAAATAAGCACTGATCGATATTAAAATCCTCTCCTATGCCCCTTTTTATTTTATATATTGCCTAGAAAATCACGTAGTTAAACTGATTGTAATAAGCACATGACACCGATTTTGACAAATTCTCTCCTATATTTTCATAGCTATATTCACCAAGGCAAAGTAAACAAAACTAAAAATACATTGTACATAAATAATACTTTAGATTTCTTTATATCTTACGGATTAATTATTCATGTTATTTCCGATATCAATCCATGATTTTTTTTTGTATATTGTTTAACGTTCCTCTCGAGCATTTTTCACTCATATGGACACGTCACCGAATGCCGGTGAAGGGCTTCAAATTAAAAATTATAACTTGGCTCTCAAAATTGGCCATTGAGCAGTGAAGACAACGGCCGATGAAATGACGTGCCAACGTTTTTGCTAAAACCCGTCGTGATGTGACGGGGTTTACATTGTACATAATTATGATGAGATTGTTTTTATATTGTTTAACGTCATATCCGATATGTCACCGTATGCCGGTGACTTTTTAGACACCTCTCCCATTGAGCAGTAAGCCGAGCGCTTGCCGAAGGAACAGTCACTTACCTATGTTTACGTCTTAGGTATGACGCGGCGCCGTGAACGAGAATCGAACCCGGGCCTTCCGATCACGAAGCGAACGCTCTACCACTAGGCTACCGTGACCAGTAATTATGATGAGAAAGGGTGCTGCCAAAAGTGTGAATTTCATAGCCCTTTGGGTCAGGGGTGCTGGGTTTGGGTGGTGCTTTATTCACAGATTTAAAATAGCAAAAATGCATGCTATGAAAATCTTCTCTGTCATTAAGTACTAAGCTAACTAAATACAATTATGCAATGTAAATGTATTTGATATAATTATAAGTAAACTTTAAACGTGTATTTTCTTGGGCATTTAGGAGGCAAACAAAGTGCACAATTGTAATAAAAAAACAAATAAAAGTAACTCCCCTTTGCTACATTGTGTTAATCAATAAATCATTTGTATATGTTAAAATTAATTAACAGGGTTTTGATTTAATGAAAATAGAAAAAAAGAATGTTATATATATAGAAACAATATAAAATGAATGTTTGGTTTAATGAGCAAAGCATGCTCTTACTCAGATTCTTAACTGGAAAGCAATATATTCATCATTTATTTTATATATTTAACAAAAGTTGTAGTTAATTGTACACATTATATTGGCAATATATATTTACACTGTTTAATAGTTGATGAGATATTTTTCAGGTAAAGTCTTTGTTGACAAGAGCCTGCATAAAGTTATAATATACCTTTATAAAAGACTCACAGAGAACTAGGGTGATTTGTGATTTTATTTTGGTCAATGTATTTAATTGTATTATAAAACTTTTTAAAAATTGATGAGAACTCCATATTTTAATTTTTTTCTCTTCATATTTTGGCATATTTTGCAAAGACGATAACTCTTCCCAGTTGGTGTTTTACATGCAGAAAAAGCAAAATTTCTTTAAGCATATGTCTATTTGAAGAACTATTTCAACTCTTAAAAATTGATTAAAGAACTTTAAAAAATCATAGAAAAACATTCTTGAATTAAACTCATTATTAAAGTATTCTCTTTTTTATCCCATGTTTAACCCTTTATTCCGTTGATATAGCTCATGTGACATCGTTTTCGTATCACACAGTTGTGACGTCACAATTGATTTTGCGTTAGAGTGATGAAGTAAAATGAAGTGGAGTCCTATATAAAAACAGTGCTAAACATTGTTTGTGGTATAAAAAACATGGGATAAAAAGAATCTCACATGATTTGTAGTTAGATACGTTTTTTATCCAACTCGTTGTGTGTTTTTATTCCCTCGCCAAGGCTCGGGGATAAAATCCACACAACTCGTTGGATAAAAATCATATTCAACTACAAATCATGTGAGATCCCATATTATCATACTGTTAAATTATTGATTTTTCTCAGAGGGTTTGAATAACTTTGAACAATGCATCACAACTGCATCAAAGCAAAAATTAAGAGAATGTGATGACGGCGCAGCTTGTATCCAGATAACTGTGGTTGAGAGGCAAATATTTTAAAAATTGTTAGTGATTTATTAGAAAAAAGAAGCTACATTATAATCAGATATACTGATTTTATAGCCGTGTGTTTTTCTTTACTGAGGTGGAGACAAGGATCCCTGTCCTTATGTTAGCCAGGATTTCCTCTGATGTTCTCGACAACATCAAATAATTCAAATATAAGTAATAAACAACGATTATTAAGTGAACATGGCATTATGAATATCAATAGCGCTAGCAAGCATCATGGAATATGCCAGCAGAGCAATTGCTATTCATAACGCCATATTCATTGAATAACGTTGTTTGTTTCTTAATAGGATCCCGCATGATTTGAAGTTAGATATGTTTTTTATCCAACGACTTTAATGGGTTTTTTTTATCACCGATCCATGGCGAGCTGATAAAACACACAACGAATTTGATAAAATCATATCCAAGAACAAATCAAGAGAGATTCTTTTTATATAAAAAGAAATATCCAAGTTATATCAACAGGATACCGGTATAGCAGTAAACATAGGACAAATTTGTATATTTTGCATTCATTATCATCCCTTTCAGATTTTGGAAAACCACATATGATCCCTAGGAGATCTCTTGGGTCTAGCATGTTGTAATAAGCAATTTTTCCCCAGGTTTTTGGAATTCTCGAGCAGTTTTGCTTCGTCGCGAATGTCTTTAAATTAAGCTTGTCTTATATCTCTATGAATTGTTTTACAATGTTTTATAATTTTAGGCTTTTTTTGTCTCTTGTATTCAACTTCTTGTCGAAATTGTTAAATTCTAATTTTCTGTACAAACTACTGGCTCAATTGTGTCCAAACAAATTAATCCGAATAAATATTTTAAAAATCATCCTATTTAAATTCAATATATCAGTTAGGCATAGATTTCTACACGAATGCCATGGAGGAGTGAGTTTTCTCTGCCGACCATGGCCAGACACATCCGCCATGTGCTCCTGGTCATGATCAGGAAATAATGGAAGAACCGTCGACAAGTCAGCGTGTGAATAAAATCCTAGAAAATAGCATACAAAATGTCAGTCAGCATTCGACTTTATGATATATTGTACTTGCTGACATGTTTATTGTACCGATCATAGAACTTACGAAAAAGAAGACTTTAAACAAGACTCCTGATATTCTTGTTTCATCAACTTGTTTTTCAATTACTTACCTCGTTTTAAAAATTGCTCCTACGTAGAGATATTGTATTTGCTGACATGTTCATTGAATCGATCATAGAACTTACGAAAAATAAGACTTTAAACAAGACTCCTGATAATCTTGTTTCATAAACTTGTTTGTCAATTACTTACCCCGTTTTAGAAATTGTTCCTACGTAGAGATTGCCCTTGCATATCAAATCAGCTGAGAAAGTTACACCTTACATGACATAAACGCATTTCTATCGAATGAACTGAGGTATATAAACCCCACATGCAGGCGATAAATTTACATTGCTGCATACTTAAGTGAGGATGACGATTGAGAAGTTAAAGTCATCACGTTGAATTTACAGCTTAATTGTTATATTACCATAAACGTCTTTTTTTCTAGTAAAAATCCAAATATGAAACAGATGTGCATGACTTTATGGTATCTTAATTATAATTCAAGTTCAACGAGATATACTGTGTCGACATAAGAATGGAAATAACCATTCTAAATTGACAATCCGTCGTCGATATATATCTAAATGCCGAATTGAAGGACACAGCAAAATTAATTATGATTCATGAGGTTCAGACTCTTATTATATATGGTAATTTTCAGTCATTTCGTCATAGTCTGGTCCTGATTTTTAAAAAGAAGGCTAGAAATAACTTCTAACGGCAAATAATTATTATTTGGTCCAGCATAGTTTTTTTAACCTATTTCGAGTATGCTGAATCCGAAAAAATATGCTGGCCTTCATGAAAATAGCGTTAAAGAGGTCAAAATGGCGATTCAAAATGTCAAAATGGCGGACATCCAATTTTTCTAATTTTCTCTTAATGTCTTTCAAAATGGTGAATTAATGAGTGAATATCTAACTGAGTATTAGTTAAAACTATAAAAATTACAATAGGATGCTAACATTATTAGTTAAACTCAGAAAATTTAGTCGTTTCTACACTTAATTCGAATTTTCTCTGATTGTTTTGTCTATTGTTTCTATATTCTTCTTTGTTCAGGATTTACATTTGCAAATATCCATACACTGCAGATTTGTATTTTTCCCTCTACGTCCCACTATTCTACAATTGAATGATAGTGCAGCTGTAAGTTAAAAGTCAAAATAACGATTCAAAATGGTGGATATTCATCTTTTTCTTCAAATTATTTAATTCTTAATGTTGTTTACATAGGAGAAAGGATTCGTAAATATTTTACTGAGAATAGTACAACTATGTGAAATGACAATAGAACACTAATTTTATCACTTTAAATAGGAAAATTTAGTCGTTAAATTTGAAATGTGTTAATTACTTAGCTCAAATGGCAATTTAAATGACGTCTTATACACTCGAATTTCGAAAAATACCCAAACTGCGTAATTCTGGTTCGTTTTGCAGAAAATGAATTACAGTTTTTATTTTTATTCATG